CAGCATCCTTGGTGTCTGCTGGCATCCTGCCCTCTGCCTTGTGCCCCACTTCCTTGTGCCGGAGCTGCATGCAGGCAGCCAGGCGCTGAGAATTGCCTCACTTCCCCCTTTCCAGCGGCGCTCTGCTCCTCCACTGGCCGGTGGATTGGATGGGACTGTGCTGCCCATAGTGCGGGCTTCGGCCAGCCTGTCACAATGGCCCACTGGGCCAGTCTGCCCCTGCACTCACCAGCTGGTAAAATCTATGCGGGCGAGTGTATTTATCGATCCCTGGACATGATGTGCAACCCTATTTTGCCACCAGACAACTTTGCCATAGAGTACACCAATAGAAAGGGCTGTTTTTATATGGTTATGCAGTTGCAAGCGGTCATCGGGGATGCTTCACTGATATCAGTATTGATTGCTTTATAAAAGTGCATGCCGCCTGAATTTTTAAGAACTCAAGACTGTTCAGAAAGACAGCCAGGGCCTTTCTGTCCTGATTGGTGAATTACCATTGGTGATCCTAAAATGTCAATAGTTATCCTATGGGAACCCAGCCTATCTCTAGTACTGTGGCTCACAAAGCCAGACAACATCCCTTTGACAACATCAAGGGAAGATTCGTATATAGGCTTAGCAGGTGCAGAATGGCATCTGAATTGGCTTCTAGTAGATTGAAGAGATGCTGATGTTTACTAACAACATTATATCTCCGTGAGAAAAGTAGTCCAATGATTACAGTTGCCTGCCGTGTCCTGCATAATATCTGTGATGTAAAGCGGATGAAGTTGCCATGGGGTAGAGGGCAAGGTTGAGCAGCTGTCTGCTGAGTTTAAACAGCTGTACAATGACCCATCACAGATAGGGGGCTTTGAAAGAGCACTTTAACAGTGAGCCACAGTAATGCATTGTGGTGTACTATGCTCTATCTGGCTCCTCTCATTTGGAGGCCTGCTAGAAATTATATGGTGCTTGATGCACGTCTACGAATATAACACTCTCAAAGCATCTATTAATTTTATGGTGTTTGCTGTTCATTTATGATTATATCATAGCATGCATCTCTTATCCTATGAGTTGTCAGTAGGCTTTCACTGCCAGCAGGCATTCTGCAGCATATGTTGGGAACTAATGAAGTTATTTTTTTAAAGAGAAAATTGGAGAGGGTCCAGAGAAGAGCAACAAAACTGATTAAAGGTCTAGAGAACATGACCTATGAAGGAAGGCTGAAAGAATTGTGTTTGTTTAATTTAGCAAAGAGAAGACTGAGGGGGGACTTGATAGCCATTTTCAGGTATCTAAAAGGGTGTCATAAGGAGGAGGGAGAAAACTTGTTCATCTTGGCCTCTGAGGCTAGAACAAGAAGCAATGGGCTTAAACTGCAGCAAGGGAGGTTTAGGTTGGACGTTAGGAAAAAGTTCCTAACTGTCAGGGTAGTTAAACACTGGAATAAATTGCCCAGGGCGGTTGTGGAATCCCCATCTCTGGAGATATTTAAGAGTAGGTTAGATAAATGTCTATCAGGGATGGTCTAGACAGTATTTGGTCCTGCCATGGGGGCAGGGGACTGGACTCGATGACCTCTCGAGGGCCCTTCCAGTCCTAGTATTCTATGATGATTGAGTAATGACAATACTTCAAAACAAAACAAACCCACTTCTGTGAAAGTTAAAAACACAGATATTAAAATCCTAATACACTTATCACAGAGGTTAGAGAAGGGGCAGGAATCTTTAGGTCCATTTTAGCTACACATGCATCAACCATAGCTCTCACAAGTCAGTGTATGAGAAGCTGTGGTTGTCCTTAATGACCTGGAGTGTGGTAGAGGCCGGGGTGTCCTGTAGAATATTGGAGGGGGACATGTAGAGAGATGCTATACTGCAGTTCTCCATGGGCTGCAAAGGGAGTAAGTCTGAGATTGAATCCAGGGACGACTGGTGAGGAAGAACATGGGGGCCGCTCCTCCCTGTGCCACTTCTAGCCTGGGGAGAGGGCTGGAACAACACTGCAGACCCTGCCCCTACTCTGCACCTCTTCCCCACCTCTGCTCCACTCCTGCCCTGCCTCTTCTCCCAAGCTGCCTCCCCCGAGTGATGTGGCCCTGGTGGACTAGTGGTGGCCTGGTGCCGACAGCAAGGGTCCACCTGCACTCACCGGCATCAGTGGGGGGAAGTGGAGTGATGTGGTCCTCTGCTCAACCTGCTCCCAGGCATGTTGCTCCGCTTCCTACCAGTGAGTGCGGAGGGAAGGAGAAGGGGATGATTCCGTCCCCTCCCCAAGCAACGTGGCAGGGAGCCAGGGGAGTGGAGCTGCTTTCCCCATCACTACTAGTGACTGGGAGGGTGGTGGTGGTGGTGGTAAATCTTGCTGTAGGTGCCAGGTCACCCTGCTAATCTCCTGGGCCACCCAGAGGCTCTGGCCCCTTGTTCCTCCCACCCACAGTGTTTCTGGGGACATGACCCCCCTCTGTTTCCCTCCATGCATTGCCTCTAATTGAATCTGTAGGTCCCAAGCAGGGCACCAACTGACAGCACCTGCCATGTTGAATAGGGCTTGCCGATATGAGAGAAATGAGGAGAACATTGCTTGGTTGCATGAAACTATAAATATAGGGCAGTGTCACTGAATACTTCCAAAGCTGTCGCTGGCTGGCACAGGAAAGTGTCCTGCTGCGGAGGCAGAAATAAGGCTGTCATCCCTTGAAACCTTTGGAAGAGGATTGCAGAGCACCTCTGTGAAAGTTTCATAATGGTCTCTCAGGAGGACTCAAGGGACATCCCTGTGTTTTGCATAATTCCCTTTGCCTAACAGTATATGGGAATGAAAAGCAGATAACACTAGTTCTCTTTGTTGTATTGCTACCTCTTTTAGGAGGAGTACATTAATGAAAAGTTGATGGCCGTGTCCTGTTGAGGACACCATCACTAAAATAAGTAAATTGGCACACTTACTCCAGATTCCTTCCCCTGTATTGGGCTCATCTGTGCATAACCAACTGGACTGAGGCAGAATCTTAAATGTTTACTGGCTTGTTTTGCAGCTGGACCCCCTCTGGCACCAATCCCTCATCCTCACCTCTTCCTCGTCTACCTCCTCCTGATCCTTGCTATTCATGCCAGGGACCTGAGACTCAGGCTACTCAGAAGTATTCAGAGCGGCATTGAAGGTGGTTGTGGGTCTCCCCCACGTGTGGCATGGAGCATTTTGTAAAAGCAGCAGGTTTGCATCTTAGCAGGGAATGGAGCTGTGGCCTCGACTGTTGGCCTCCCTGGCCTTCTGATGTGCCTGCTGCAGTTCCTTGGCTTTCACTTGGTTCTGCTGCTGACTCCTGCCATAACCTTTTTCCTGCATCCCCCATGCAATCTGCTTATGGGTGTCCATGTTTCGACAGCTGATCCTTAGCTTTGCCTGCACTGGCTCAGGCCCATGAGAGACAATCTCTCTGTCTGCTCCAGGCTCGAGCATGCATGGACTGTGCAATGGTGTGGTCAGTTAGGCCTGAGCACTTGTACACAGCAAAGGAAGAGTGTGCTCCCCTGGCTGGACAGTCAGGAAAAGGCATTTCAAAACATTAAATGTAAGTGTAGACCCGTCATAGCCAAGCTGATGCAAGGTGCCTTCACCTAATCTAGCTTTATAGTGTAGAGCAGGCCTTAGTGTGCTAGACTTCAAATTTTGCTCACATTTAGTCTGACACTATGTGCTTTAGTTTTATTTAAATTCCATACACCTGGGTTTATTTAAGACACTTGTGAACTCATAACCATCATAAGCCATTTCCAGAGAGAAAGGAAACAAAACTCAGGATTCAGGCGAGTCTGAGTGAGGAGTTGGTGACAGCCCACACCAGTGACTTGGTCAGAGGTGAGGTACGGTGGGAGCCCCTATGTAAGAGGCACTTCTTGGATTCTGCTTTGGAACTGAGGCACAGAAATAAATTAAAGTGAAAACCAAGAGGAGTGGTCAGCGCAGGGGGACCGATGTTTATGTAGGCACTTCTAATACTGTGCTTCAGTGATGATTACAAACCACCAGAGGAAATCTGAGTTAAGGGAAACAATAAAAATATTACATTTATATTGTATGTCAGTGTAAATGGTCATAATCGAACTCTCATGAAAGTTCTCTTCTAGATCACTCACTCGGGAACCTGATTTCAGTAGATACAGATTGGATATCCTTTTGAAGTATGAAAGATTTTGATGTTTTAATGCAATTTGTTTTCCATAAAACATGCATTTAGCGTCATGTTAGGACATTTCTGTCAGTGGCTTATTAAAAGTAACCATAGCAACCAGCAGTCCTTGCAAAGCAAGCTGTTCTTCTCTTTTAGGAAATGCAACTTCATCTAAATTTCCTCTCAGACATTGCAGACATTTTGTTATTGTTTGCTCCTTTTAGATCCTTTTCCTGTGTTTTTTTAAGCTATTGTATGGTGGATTTTTCTTGGCATGTTGTTTTCTATTGATTATTTAAAAAATAAAATAAAAGGGCAGCTATCTCTGGGACCTATTATTTTTTTATATTGTACTATTGTTGCGCATATATATATATATATTAATACTTTTGTCATCAATCAAGTGTCAGCAATAACGTTATTTCATTTGAAGAAATTTTTGATGTAAGTTAGCATAAAATGTATTTCAGAATGCAGAGATTTAATATTTTAATAGATGTTCTCATATGTTAAAATACACTGGTTGATTGGCCTACTTATTTTGACACACCTATTTGTGCTTGGTTAAAAGTTTGATATTCTTCTAAAGTTATGAATTGAGACTACAGGAGTTTTTTAAATAGTTGTAAAAAATAATCCTATCTATTACAGTTTAATTAATATAGTATTGCCATCTGAACAAGGATGGATAAAAGCAGATTTTTATTTGTACTACTCTTGCAGAATTGAAAAATAACCAGTAAACTTTTACAATCTGAAATATATATTACTGGGTTTATTGGCTGTTAGAATACTGCTGGGTATGTATATGTATAAAGTTATATTCCTTTTTCAGGGACAGATGACTATACAAGCAAAGTTTGACAAAGATATTTACCTCCCAGAAGATGCTGAATTTTACTTTGTTTACGATGGATCAACTCAGAGACATATAACATTTGCTGAGCGAATTAATAATAATGCTCTGCAGTCCATCATTCCAGGTGAGCATGGTGGTTGTTTCAATTTTTTCTCTTTCTACTCCCACTTTCCTTTTTTGATGTGAATGGAAACCTGATTTTTCAAAATAGTTGTGTTGTCTTATTAAGTTTTTCTAATGGGACACATGGTGCAGTGGGGTGGACTTTGGGGATGAGTTTGAGTGGTTAATGTGTGCCTTTTGCCACCTCTTGTGCCTTTTGCAATGTTATACAGTATATTGTTTGCAGTGGGGGAGCAGGGCAATGCATGTGGTCTTCAGATGTGGCTTGATGATTAAGCCTTTGTGACTTCTACAAAACAAGCCAAATCTTAGCCCTGGTCTTTTGCACCTGGACATCCTGGACTTGGGAAGCCTGCAGAATCCCACTGTGTCAATCTGTGAACCATCCCAGGATGTAGTGTGGTTAAGAGCTTCCAATTATTCAGTCTTGGCTTGCTCTGGGGATTTTCCCGATTTGTCCAGGTCTGGGTTACATGTGTGCTGTTCTGTGGGATTTTGTGGACAATTCTAGCCTGCACTCTATTGTTTGACAAATGATGTGAAGATATTGTACTGCGAGAGGTAGATCCAAGGAGGCAGGGTTCAGGTTAAGGGTCTAGACCTGCCTCTGCATTTTAAATGCTTCTTTTTATGGCCTTGACCTTTCTGTGTTGTTCCTTTGGATGGTAGGGGGAAGAAATAAAAAGGAATGAGAAACACCCTTGTTAGGGAGCAAATAAATCCTTTTGTTCCTGGTGTGGTGAGAAATCCCCATACTTATTTGCATGGGCAGCGGCTAGTGGAGGCAAGGGGAGGCCCACTCACATTCTGCCCCCATTCTCCTTCCTGCTTCTCCCTCTGCAGGTGGTTGGCTCTTCCATGGCTGCCAGCCTCCTGGTGCTTCAGGCACGGGAGGGCTGGGGCTCTGTTTGCTGACAGCCTAGTACTCCGGGGCCAGAAGGCTGGGGCTGCACTAGGGATGTTAAAATACGTTTATTAAAGTAAACGTGTAACCACTGAAAAGTTCAGTGGTTACACATTTACACGAGGAGGGGGGCAGTCGGCTGCTGCCTGTTCTCCCCCCATCCACTACTTTTGATACATGGGGCGGTGCAGACTAGGGATGTGAAAGTGTCACCGTTTACATAGTTAACCAATGTGCCTGCGCTCATTGATTAATGTGCACGCTTACATGCAGTCCCCGCCCCCGTTCCCTGCTGCTGCCTCCTGTACTGGGGAGCAGGCTGGAGCCAGTATGCATGGGGAGCAGTTGGCTTAAAAGCTATGCAGCAGTGTGGGGTGAGGAAGCGGCTTACCATGTACCAGCTCTTGCCTCCCACCCCAGTACTGCTGATACAGAGGCAGTAGTGCAGGAGGGGAAGGGAGGGACTGCATATAACTGTGCACATTAACCAATGAGCCCAGGCTCATCAGTTCTCCATGTAAACGGTTACACTCACATCCCAAGGCTGCACTGCCCAGCATAATGGTAAAAACAGCAGCTGACTAATTTTCCAGCTCCAGGTGCTCCAGCCCTGGAGTTCTGGTTGTAGGAAAACTTGCTGGCTGCTGTTTTTGCCATTATACCAGCGCTCTGGGGTTACACTGTCTGGCCACCTGGTATTCTAGAGGAAAACAAGGGGGGGCACTAGCTTAGGGCAGGAACCAGTGGTCACAATGGGGGCTGGAGTCCAGTGAGCACGGAAGGGGTGAGGGTCTGGTGATTAGTTTCCCTAAAACAGCTGTTCACACTGCACCCATGTTCATTTGACTTCTGGAATTATATTATGTCACCCATGAACAGAGCTGGTCCTAACCAATTGGTGGCCGCAGGTAACTGTTCGGCTCGCCCGTAGGGTTGCCAGAAGGTTTCTCAAAAACACCAACCAACCACACACACATACACGCGGACAAAAATTTGTCAAGCAAAAAAAGAAAAAAGGGTCAGGGAGGGGTTGGGGAGTAACCAGGGAAAACCTGGGGGCTCCAGGGCTGCCCCTTTGAAATGTGTGTAGAAGTGGTATTTTAAAGGGGCAGCCTTAGCACAGTTGTTCTGCAGCTCAGCTGTAAGGCAGCTACTTCTTTGAAACGTGTATTTCAAAGGAGCAGTGGAGCCCCAGGTCAGCTGGGGAGTCTCCAGCTGATCCCAGGCTCCGTGTTGCGCTGCCTCAGCAGCACTTCAAAGGGGCAGTACAGCATTAACGCCTGCGATTAATGCGTTAACAAATGTAATGCGTTAATCCTGGACTGCATTGATCTCAGACATTAATGCATGTCAATTGACAGCTCTAGTAGCAAATAAAAACATAAGGTCATAGACTACACTCAACAATGGGAGATTAAAACAAAGATTGAAAGTAGAATAGTCTATATATTGTAACAAAATTTTACTTAGCAAATTGCCAAATAAAAGTACTTTGTATCATTTTTGTTTAAAGGCCATTGCTATCTCTGTTCCCCATGTGCTTGCCCATTTTTGTGTATTTATCTGATCTGTATGAACAACTGTGGTACTAGTATGCAGAAATTAGGTGTATACCTACATTGTCTATCCTTTAAAATACTATCAGTAGGTTTCAGCATTCACTCATGTGAGATGTAGAAGAGCAGTGTGCAAGTCCTGTAGAGGTATTTCTATCAGTTTGCCAGCTCACATAAATGACTACCATGGAAACTAACCCTGGGGGTTTTCAAAGGAGCCTGAGGGAGTTATGTGCCTAGGAGAGTGGGCTCTTAACAGTGTGATTGATAACCTGTGAAAATTCCAGCCATAAATAAAAATGTGAAATTGCAATTTTGTCAAAACTGTGGTTTTATAAATAGCAATGTACATTTGTGGAAAGCTTCCAGGGAGGTCAGTGGATATAAAATCCATGTTAAAAATGTCCAGTGCTCCCACTCCATGTCCCTCAGGAATCCCTTTCTTTGCTGTCCTCATTTTTCGTGCTTTCTACTTAAGAAACTGCTTCTGTGATTGGTGACAACAGTCACAAATGGGCTTACCTTGTTAGGGGGCAGAAGGAAAGTATGGAAAGAGTTGTGTCTGTGATCTATATTGGTCCTATGCTGAAGGTTGTAATGGTCAAGTCCAGATGATTGTTGCATCTTTAATTTACATTTGAACAGCTGCTATACTGCTGATGACATCTGATGCCCTGTCCATTCACTGCTCCTAATTCTGTCTCTCTCCAACCCCCAAACACACACATTCTGTGACCTAGCAGATGTGCTCTGGATATGGGGTTGGTGGTATCTGGCTGTGCATGCCCCCAAAATCTGCATGCTGGGATCTATTCAAACTGCAACCAGGCTTAGATGCAGTTAGCCAATGACCACCTGCCCTTCTCCCCATCCTCAGTCCTGCTGTTGATTGTTGAGAACTCTGCAGAGTAGAACCAAGACAGTCCGGGGAGTTCTAGGACAAAGATCATTTAAATTAGCTGTTCACATCTCTCACTTATTTAAATTATGTAGGTGCTGAAATGTCCTATCCTGCCTCATGCTTTTGTATAGGGGCATTTAACACTTACTGCAATCTGATGTGGTTTTAAACAGACCATTTTAAAGTATTCAGTACTGGTATGTCTGGTTCTTCTTCGAGTGATTGCCCATGTGCATTCCAATAGGTGTGTGTGCATGCCTTGTGCACAGTCGTTGCAGAATTTTCCCTTAGTGGTACCCTTCAGATTGGCTGAGGAGCCCACAGTAGGTCCATTGACAGGAGGAGCAAGGGGTGAGTTACCTTGGAACCCAGTGATTCAAAGGGGCCTGGGGCATGGGGACTGCCACAGTAGCAGCAGTAGCAGCCAAAGTCCCGAGCCCTTTAAATCACTGCCAGAGTGCTGCACTCTCTGGTTGGCTCTCAGGGCTGGTGACATGATGCGCTCACAGCAGCATGGAGGGCTGGATGCCCTGGCTCTGGCCCTTTTTCTGGAGGCCCTACCCCTTCTGGGAGAGTGGAGCTGCCCTTCCCACCTCACCCTGGGGCCCATAGAGGTTGTCAGACCCCCGACTCCAGCACGGCACTTTCATGGTGCAGTGGGTAAGACCATAGAGGTTGTCAGACCCCCGACTCCAGCGTGGCACTTTCATGGTGCAGTGGATAAGAAATTGCTGACTTGCTGCCCTCTCAGTTCCTTCTTACTGTTGGAGCTTCCTTAAACTCTGGCTTGGTAAGCACTGTTACTGGTATCCATTGTTAGTTGCGCGTCATTCAGTTAATCAATGTAGTAGTTAGTTACTTTGGGTACCCCCCCCCATTTACAGATCCACACGGGGGCATGCTGTAGTATCAGAGATTTAAAATCCTGCAAGAGCTATGGGAAGCCTATGCCCAAGGGCAATCAGCACTTTTCATGCCTCAAGTGCCTTAGAGAGGGCCATCAAATTGAAAAGTGCCCTGTTTGTAAGAACTTCTTGCCTAGGACAAGGAAATAACATGATCATCTCTGGAAGTGCTTGCTAATGAAGGCAGACCTCCGCCCCCAAAGTTTGCACCAGCTCCAGTGGTGAGCAGTGCACTGACCTCGGTATCTGGTATGGGATCCGTTGCTGCTGAGGAGAGATACCACAAAGGAACACTGGCACCATTCCCTGCAGGACCAGGCAGGGGTGAGCATGCCACTCTATTCTCGCTTTCCTGATATCTCATTACAAAAGAAAACTGGGAGAGGCTGGTCCCCCACCTTGAGGTGCATCTCATGGTTGCAGGTCTCAGGCATTTCTCCAGAGGACCCAACTACTACAACTGCTCAGGAGTGTTTGCAGAGAGTATGAACTCCCATCTGCACAGCCTGAAGGACTTTGGGGCAACCCTAAAATCCCTAGGATCTACACCCCTGCACCTCAGAAGAAGCCCTTTTAAACTAGGGATGTAAGCGACTAATTGGCTAGTCAACAAGCAAAAGCTTATTGGATAGTCGACACATTAGGTGCCATGCTTGGGGAATGTACAGCCAACCTGATGGGTACCGCTAAAAAAAAATTCTCCAGCAGTTGTGCATGCAGTGGATACACACACCTATTGGAATGGACATGAGCAATCATGTGAAGAACAACCGTTATGAGAGGCAGATAATTTAACCTCATCTCCCCCGCCCAAATACATCAGAATAACTGGGAGGATATTTATTAACTGTATAGTCAGGTTTAAATTTAAGATCAAAAGTGATTGATAGGTTTCCCTTTAACAACTGGATTTAAATGGAGGGAAGTAAAATAAAGCAACTAGGTATTTTTTAAGTTTATAAAGAGATGAAGAAAGAGCAATATATATTCTGGAAGAAGTTAACATGTTAATGATTTATCTACTTTATATTTCAGGCCATGGATGCCAAGAAACAGTTTCAGTCTCTGTGTTCATGTACATGAAGGGATGTTCACCTGTGACCCTAGGCTGCTCTTCTGTCACTTACAGGCAGAATCTGGCTTGCAAGTTATCTCATTTTCTGATTAGCCACTTTGACTGTGTCACTTCTACTAGTCACCAGACACTGCTTAGTAAGTTTGGGCTAACTGTAGAAGATTTGCAATCACTGGATCATGATGTGATGCTGGCCATAGCTCATGAAGAACTGCCACCTACATGGAACATCCTTGGAAGTTGTTCTGAAGATGGTAGGATTTTTCATTGAAATGCTTTTAACTGTAATTTGCCTATACCTGTACAATTCAAACTAGAGAGTGGGAACTTTCATAGCAATTTCTACATCTCTGTGGCTTATTTTACTGCTGTGATGGGAAACTTGTTTCAGAGAAGGGAAATCAAGGCTTCAGTTTGTTCCTGTAGCATCACAAATCATTAATAATTGTTGTAATTCAGTCTCTCAAAGAACCTTTTGTACCTTGACTCTCACTGTGAATTTAGTCCTTTTGATGAATAATGCCTGTCTACAATTGATGACAAATTTGGCGCCTCACAAAACCTCAAAGATTATAATAACAAAGTGTCTCCATCTTGATTCCAAACTGATGAAAACTTTTTAAAAAGTTTTACACGAACAAAAGAAGATATGAAAAAAATTGTCATGAAAGGGACACAAGAATGTTGCATTACAGGAATTCTAACTAGTGACTGATTATTATTAACCCCAGTACCATCAACGGTGAGGCCTCATTTAGGATTGCGTTAACCCCTTGAAAAATATGTATTCCATAACTTTCAAGCCACCCTGTACAACACGGGTGGGGAACCTCCAGCTTGCGGGCCACACTCAGCTCATCGAGGTTAGCCAGACTGTTTGTTTAGCTGAGTGTCCACAAGTATGGAGCCCTGCAGCTCCCAGTGGCCACTGTTTGCCATTCCTGGCCAAGGAAAGCCACGAGAAGTGGTGCAGGCCTGGCCACTGCTTCCCGCATCTCCCATTGGCCAGGAACGACGAACTGCAGTCACTGGGAGCTGCAGGGCTCTGTGCCTGCGGATACTCAGATAAACAAAGTGTGTGATGGCCCATCAGCAGCTAGCCCTGCTAAACTTTGTGTGGCATCCAGGCTGGAGTTTCCCCGCCTCAGCTGTACAAGACGGGCTCGTCATTAATGTATCAATATGTTCTGCTAGGGAAGCATGAGTGGGATATTTTACTAACTGGTTGTGCGCTGAGAGGATGCAGAATGAAAAATAGCCATGGTACTGTATTTGAGCAGTAGTACTAAATCTTTTGTATTGAAATCAGGTGAAATGTTGGCTTCAGGTTTCACACACAATTAGGTTTCAGTTTTCTGCAGTGTGAACTTTTTCTTCAGACTAAGGATGTTAAGAGGCAGGTAATTGGGTAATCATGTAATCAATACAATCTGTAGTCCCAACTCCCTGCTGGAATCTCCCACAGACGGGCTGCTGCTGGAGCAGCCTCCTGTTCCCCTCTCCCAGCCCACACATTGCTGTCTCTGATTGAGGCAGCAGTACCCCGAGATGGGAGGTACTGTGCTGGAGGGAGCCAGCTTTCAAGCCGGCTCCCCCCAGCACTGGCTCTTGCTTCCCCAACCCCTCTTGCTGCCTCTGATATAGAGGCAGTAAGGGTGTGTGTGTGTGAGTAGTCTACTTGATTACCCAATAAGCCTAGGCTTATCAGGTAGTTGACTAATTGTCTACTCCTTTACATCTCTACTTCAGACCCAGTCAATTTATAGCTTTGCTTGTGAACTATTTGAAACTTAGCTAAGTTTTGAGTACTTGAAATTTGTTCAAAATTTGAGAACAAGCAACCCTATGTGACCTTAAGCTGAAAAAGACATTTGGGAAAAGATCATGAGAGTTTTACCTGGTTCTGTTTGTTGTACTCTTTGGGTGAGAATAGTTTCAAGATTTTTCTAATTCTACTATGTCTGTAGATACTAGTGTATTTCATACTGCTCTAGGGTGCTTGTGTTGCTTTTTTTTTAAAAAGATTTTTTTCAGAAATTGGAAGTCTGTTTCAAAAAATGAGTTTCATTCATAGGATTATTTTCCCCTAGAGAATGAGATGTTAGGTATATAACCAAAGAGTTGATTTTTTTTGTTTTTTTGTTTTTTTTAATACCCCCATAAAAGTAGTGGCTTATGTGGTGCACTGAATTAGTTCACATGTGTAGGAGGAGTTGCTGGCTTAGGCAATAAGAACTATGTTCTTTTGTTTCCTTCTCATGTGTAGTAAACATTGCTTCACATCACTAGACTACATTGTGGTTGAGTACAGTTTCTAATCAATGGCTTTATCCCAGGCTGCAGAAGTCAATGGGAGTCGTCTTCTCATTACTTCAGTGCATTCCACTTTGGAGTCCTAAGGAGGCTCTTGTCTAAAGTACTAGTAGACACTGTAATATCCTGTTGTAGAACAGGACTGCGTTGACTGTTTTAGATATTCCTCCTGTAACTTGTGATTCTGTCTGAGGCAGGAACTAATGGTCAATAGTTAGCCCTTCTCCCTTGAAGACCACATGGAAGCTTCTGCATGTTGCAGGATACTTCTTACCTGTGCAAGGTGAACTGTTCTCTAAGCACATAACAGCCATATTTAAAAGTTCTGTACTGATTTACTGTTTGCTTCTGGGTGCATTTCAAGGCAGTGGGGACAGTGCTACTTACCTACCCATGAAACCACTACTAGGCTACGTCTACATTGGCATGATCTTGCGCAAGAACGCTCTGATGGCCATTTTAACCATAGGGCTTTCTTGCACAAGAAATTCATGTTGCCTGTCTACACTGGCCTCTTGCGCAAGAACGCTCTGATGGCCATTTTAACCATAGGGCTTTCTTGCACAAGAAATTCATGTTGCCTGTCTACACTGGCCACGAGTTCTTGTGCAAAAACTCTTCCAGAAGAGAGCGTCTACACTGACGTGTGCTTTTGTGCAAGAGATGTGCTTTTGCGCAAGAGCATCCTTGCCAGTGTAGATGCTCTCTTGCGCAAGAAAGCCCTATGGTTAAAATGGCCATCAGAGCGTTCTTGCGCAAGAGGCCAGTGTAGACAGGCAGCAAGTTTTTGGACAAAAGCGCCAATGTAGACACAGCCTTAATGTGCTACTTACCTACCCATGAAACCACCTCTCTCCTCATGCCTGTGTCATGGTAGTTAAAATCATCAGTGATTCTCTTGTTGTTGGTTCCTGAATAAAACTCCCCTCAATATGTAGCAACTCTTTCTCTGAGGTGGGCCCTCACTTCTGGAGTCAGATATGAAGCACGTATACTACTCCAAGAACTTGAATTGTATTTATTTGGAATGGTAGGGTACATTCTTCTCTCAATATGCATGCAAATCTCTTGATAACATTGATAGAAATTACATATATGAACCAAGAAGAGGTTATATCTGTTTATTCAGGACACGAACACTGGTTACTCCAATTGATCCCTTTTGATTTGCGTTGTTCTGAACAGCTTTTCTCAGAGTGCCACTATTAAAGACTGCTGTCTCCTCTTTCTCTCTCTCTTTTTTTTTTTTTTTTTTTTTAAAGTCAGGGGAGTATACCAGAATAGCTATAGAGGTAAACTCCAGGTTGTATGTGCCCCTTAAGGGTAAGATGGAACTTGCAACAAGGTGATTTGCTCTGCTAACTTACTAGTATATAATGCAGTGTTTCTCAATCTTTTTTTTTAAATAAAGTACCCCCAGTATGTACAGTTTTCAGACACACAACATTTTTTTTCTACCATTGCAAAACATTTGTTTAAACAACTTAATTGTAGCCAGGCGGGCGATGACATTTTTGGGTGTAAAAAGTACAAAAAATGATGTGCTGTAAACCTTAAAACAAAAATTCAGTTTTCTCCAAATTTCAGTTGTGTTGACGTACCCACCAGACCAAGAGCAGCCTGAAGCAGGCTGCAGCAGCTGGCGCCCCAGGCAGAATGCACGATTGGTGCCCCCGCCTGCAGAGCTGTCAATAGACTGACATCATCATCGGGCACCCCGGGTGCCCCATTGAAGGCGGCGCCTTAGGCAACAACGGAGTCCACCTATAGTCACGGGCTGCCCCTGCCCCAGACTTCTCTCGAATACCCTAAAGGGGACTCATACCACTGGTTGAGAAACACTGATATGTTGCACCATTGCAGGTCCTCTTTGTACTGGTGTGCAGTGTCTCTACATCATGGGCATTTGTATTAGCTAAACTGTTGAAGTTTATAGTGGGTTGCTTTTTCATTATTGGTGTTATCTCTTACTCTTGACCCTTTTTGACACATGTTCCAATGAAAAATATCTGACCGGGTCCTTTGTTGTTTGTATTTCATTTGTGCCTTGGGTCTGCTTTCTAAACATGGATCAGGGTCCCATTGTGCTAGGCTCTGTATAAACACTCAACAGAAAGAGAGACCTTGTCCCAAAGAGCATGTAATCTAAGTTGTCAGGGAGCATCACTCTCTCACTATTTGACGAGTTTACAAATACCTGAGCAGCGCTTTTTTAATAGTCATAGTAGCAGAAGGGACCTTGTGAAGTCATCTCAGGCCTGTATGTGGGGAGGCACCCCTCATGACTCTCTAAGTAAGCATGCTCTGGCGTGCCAGGGGAAAGCAGGAGTGGTGCGCTGCCTGAGCCTCCTTCTCCCATGCTCTGTCCAGCTGGATGAAAGCTGGGGCTGATTTTCCTGCTTACTTGGGGGACCATAGGGGTACATTCACATCTTTGCTGTCCACATTTATAAAACACTCCGCCCAGAAATTCCTGCATACGGCCTGCATGTCCTCTGTTCTCATTGCATACATTTTGATTGACTTTGTCAGCTTCTTTGTCTACATTACATGTTTTTTTCCTCCCCTCACTATGCCCTTTCCCTCTCATTTCTATGTGTATGGTTTATTTTGTTTCTTGCATTTCTTTTTACAAAGTCTTGTATAACTAATAGCTTGCATAACTTCCTCTTATCCCTGGCAGAAAAGTACTAATATACTGTACATGATTTGTTCACTAATCAGTTGCTTATCAGTTACTGTGAGACTACTTATGCTAGGAACACACGTTTATCAGACAAAAGACCTATTTACTTGTATTGTTAGTTTTCAAAGGGCTGCTATTATCTATTCCCATTGTTTATTCAAAGAAAATGACTTTAGAATGACATTCATGGAGGAAATTATTCTGCCTTATGGTGGTTTTGGTCCTTTTTTAATGAGCATTTAGAGACCTATGGTT